ACTGTTGAGATTTTTTAGTGTACCTACATATGTTTGATTTTTGGGTCATTAAGTCCAATCTGTGTAGATCTACTATAGCCAAGCTTGAAATTGTGTCTTGTGGTTTACTTCTGTATCCTTTTATTAATTGACTGAAAATAATTCCAGTCAAGACCGAAGTCAAACCCGAAAGCTCAGGTTTATTGCATGCATAATACTATTACAATGCGGTACAAGAACAAACTCTAGTAATCATTTTTGCCGTGAAGATCCTGATTTTGTCTGTCGTAAAGAAGATAGAAAATAGTATTATTTATCATATACATTTGTTTTGCTTCTTTTAATCAACAAGAATCAGTGATATTTAATTTCTTCATTAGTAGACGAATCGGACTTAAATAAAAACAACTGATCATGACATTCAAAGTAGAACCTGAATGAAATTTGAATATTCAAAGAAAGATCAATTTAACGCATTGTTACAATACACTGTTTGAATGACGTTCCCTCATGAATAACAATTGACTTCGTGATTTATCTTTAGAAAAAGAAAACCATCAAAATACGACACAGTAGACTTTGATCACCAAGTTATTGCAGTTCATGTGAGAATTATTTCGCAATTACATCCTACGAATAAAATTGATTTCTTCAATTTGTTTCAGCATAAAAAAAAAGATTACAAGTGTGGCTAGGCTATTAATCCACTCACGTCCCACACGCACACCTGTTCACTTTCCATCAAACAAATGTTTGCTACAGTTATTTACAATTATTATGTCTGATTTCAATTTATTTTCATCAAATGATCGAATTGATGTACATACAATAAAGAATTTGTTAATCGCAAGTAGAATTCAATGTTTAATTAATTTAGAGGTCCACAGTGAATGACTACATTAACAATAATAAATATTGAAATAGTTCGAATAAAGATTATTCAATTATTTAAAGAATAAATGTTTGTTGTTCGTCAAAACGAGGAGAAATACTTTGCTAACATCCGACAATGATTGATTTTGACTAGAGAATCATTTTAAAAAAGGATCTGAATTTCCGTAACCGTGAATTGATTATCATCATTGGATCCTATTGGTTTCTTACTTGTCAGTTCATCTGGATTTTCACTCTCATCGAAAAAAGTCTAAAAAAATATGAACAAATGCATTGAGTCTATCAACTTTGGTTTTTGTTCCTCTTTGTTATTTTGACCAGTAATCTCTCTGTCTGGAAAGCAAAAAAAGATAATCATTATGAGAACGATCCATTTATTGACAATAGTATTAACAAATCGTTGAAAAGTTCTTTGAAGATTGATATAATTTGAACAGGCGTTGCTACAAGCAATTATTCTCTCATAATTTCCAAAGTATACAATAAAAATCATCGAAATTCCTTACTTTCAGCATCAGAATGCTAAGCGACATATACTTGGGGTGTGGATGGGCATGAAGAGAATATACCATCCCATACTCAATGATCTACATCGAAAAATGAAATCAATTTGTGCATCGAAATCTGTTACTTGATTGTTTGAAATCATTGCTGATCGAAACAACGACACTCAGCATGCGAATTCTTATCACTGTCTATGCATCAGATTTATTGAAGTTATACAATAAGAAAGCGAGTAATGTATACATGGAAAAAGGAAAAAAACAATTGTTCGTTGCTGTTGTCATGCTCTTTTATAATGATTCAAGAAGTAGTTTGTTAAACATTTCATCAGTTCATTCTCTCTACATTGATGATATTTGTAGTCAAATCTAACTACAATATACATTATTCGTAGATACGCTACATCGAATTTTCATCGTTCTTTTACGACTAGAAAGAAAAATGGCTGTTGCTTATTTAGATCAAAATCGAGTTGAAATCGAACCAACATATGAGCCGACGAGTATCCCAAATAATGATGTTGCCCACTTAATGTAGTATTTAAAATGCGTGTGCACGGCTATTGATTGCAACGATGATAGTGGCAATCAACGTTTCACAAACTATGCGAATTGATCTCGTTTGTCATCTGAAGAGACAAAATTACTTATAGCTGTGTGCTACAATTTCAGTCTTGATGTCTTCAAAAATCGAGTGTTTTTCCATAGTGAAGAACTAGGTGTTCAGTACTCCAATGAATTTTTTTATAAAATAAATCAAGTGGTGGAACATCATGTCATTGCCGCCGAATCAATTTTTGTTGCCAATCAAACAAGGCATGTCGATAACATCATGACACATAAATATCAATGGATGGGAAAACATTACCTCGGACCAACGCGTCGATTAGCACCTCGATATTTTGCTGCCACTGAACGGCAATGCCCTTCTTTAAGACATTTGGCCCTCGTTATACAACAGCCAGTCAGAGTGAAACAAAGTTCAAATAAATGTTGTTATATTGTTTGCTTCGCCATCTACTGCATTTTAATTCTTATAATTGTCATTGTCATGGTCGTTTTTTTGCTACAAGGAATAAAAATTCTACACCATAATTTTTGGTATCCCAGAACGAAAATCCTATACAATCATGGAAATCAGTCATATAGCTGTTCATCAGTGGTGCTCACCATATTAACATAGTAGACATGTAAAGTCTGATTGATCATTAATGAACAAATATTGCCAGTACCTGTTGATGTTTTTTTGATACAAAGTAAGACGTTCGTCATCAGTTGCTAGTCGAATTGTATTGTTGTGAGCTTGAATATCTGATGACAAACTGTGTACCAGTACATCAAGTATGGCAAAATAATTTTCTCAAATGATAAAAACGAAAGTAAAATGATTTCTTGTGGATTCAGATAATTGTGGTTGATAAGTAGATGACAATATACTCTAATTGACTCCCTATCTCGTAACAAATAAAGTAACATCGCCAGATCTTATGAAGAAAATGAGAATTAAACATGAAACAATAAGGAAGCTGAAAGAATACCGAATCCTATATCAGAGTCTATGTATAATATAGAAAGCAATAGCTAATGACTAGTTCAATAACAGTAAGACATACGGCACCGAATATTAAGTATTATTATGATCATTCTGTGAACTACGGAATGAAATTTGCATACTATGACAATCTTCTTTGAATTCTATTATATTTTGTCGACAGCAGCCATTGCCTGCGAGTCGCTATTTGAAAAAACCTTTTTTTTTTTATTGTGAATCATGTATTAATATGGTGGAAATCGTCATGATTCAGTTTTTACAAAATATTTATTTTCTCAACATAATTATACAAAATGAAAAGATTTACATTGAGTGATTCTGCTTTATCTAATCTTGATTCAAAGTCTTAAAAATTATTGTACACTCAAAGGTAATATTAAAAAACTTGACTAAAAAATACACCCAATCATAATGATGTTATTTCCGAATATCTTGCAAAGAAAAGGGTGCATATTATACAAAGACATTATGCTCAACAGATATCTCACAAATGTTGTAATTGCTGTATTATATTTGAAATAGTTACCACGAGCTACATAATTCATTTTATATCTTTCACTGAAATATGACTTCTCAATATGGCAAAAAATGTTTTTCTTTTTCTTTTTTTTCTCTTAATGTTGCTAACTTTCCCTGCAGTAAATATCAATCAATCAATCTGAAATGTGATTTTATCTCTATCTTCTCGTCGTCATTATTATTGTAGATACGGATCTCAGTATGAACAATAACTATCTTTCACATAATTGTTTATTCACTTATTCAAGCATGTTGCATGTATAAATGATCGGCAAGCAGGCAAATATATTATTACGTTCAATTGTCATCTCCTTTTTTTGAATGTTTTCCAACAATGAATAGTAACAACAGCAAACATTATGTTTGCGCTTCCAGTCATACTATTCTATACTTTATGTATGCCAACTATGATTATGTACGTGTGCGTGTGTTTGCGAATTGTTGATTGTTCAGATCGTTATGGCTCATATAACATTAAAAAAACACAGACAATAACACCTGTTTCCTTTTTTTCTTTGTTAGATGAGATTCCTGATATCAAAAAGAAAAATATGCTTACTGACTTTTTGACTTTATTTTCATATTATTATATAATTTTATTTAACACAACAATGATTTAAAGAAAGACAAAACCAAAATAACACAAATGATTATCATGAACAATATTTATTGTTAAGACTTAACTGAATTCTTTAAATGAAAGGTTATTGATTTGATAGTTTTATGATTTTTAAATATGAATTAACACATCGTCGTTCATGAAAGACAATCGAAACATTCAATGAATAGTTATTATTATATGGACATTAGATGAATTAATCACATTTGCTTTTCATGTTCGTCATTATTTTAATAATACACACAAATGAAAAAAAAAAAGGGAAAAGAAAATAGTATTATTTAATCTAACTGATTATTTATTTTGTAATCCTTCTGTGAACTTATTTCATAACACATATTGATTACAATGCATTTAACAATACATGTTGGTGTTGGTGGTAATACTACTAGTACTTGTTGTTCATTGCTAAGCAACATTTCGTTCATTGTCAATACGATCGGTTATGGCACGTGAAATATTTTCATCACTGATTATAAGTGTACTTGTTGCTTTACTTTGTTCCATTCGTGTATGGATAGAAGAATGTGATGTATTTTCATCCCTCGTTTTTTTTTTTGGATTGTTGCATCATCGATTTTGATTGGTACACTTCTTTCTATTGTTTTACAGCGTCATTTTCATGTTTACCCTACTTATATCAGATTATCGATTAAGATATTTATTATGCATAGAGTGTTTTTTTAATGTTTATCATAAATGTGCTAATGGACAAAGCTTTATTATCGTGTTATCTTATCATGTTATCTTATCATAAATATAAAGCATTGCCAACAAGAAATAAAATATTCTTATCAATCATCTTTTTTCATCTCTATGGTGATGGACTAAAGAAAAGAAAAGAAAACGTATTGGGTCATACAGTGCAAACATGATACTTTTCATATAAAAAGCATATGAAATATATTTGTATGTCAGAAAGTTTAATATATCAATGATGTCAAGAACTACATTTCTTATACAAATTGCTTCTGTACCTGGTAATCAAGTTGGTCAACGACGATTTGAACAATGTCGTTATTTACATGATTTACTTATAAATACATTAATTGATCAAAATAAAGAAGAAGAACAAAAAGAACAAATAAAAGTATTATCAAAATTATTTCCTCAACATAAAATTGTTCTTCGATCAGGATTTTCGCAAACAGCTCAATGGGGCTTAGAACCAAATATGTTTATTGAAGTGAGTAAAATTTTATTCTATATCATAAGTTTTATTTTGTAATAATGAAATAATATTAAAAAAACTTTTTTTCAGATAACTTGAAAAAAGCTAATTGGTACAGTTCCTTTTTGGGGCTAAAATGTGGAATTCATATGTCTTCATTATCTTCATTGTAATAATACAAAATATGTAAACTAAAAATTCTCTAGCAGACGATATTTCTTTCTCAAGGAGAATCGTTCGTTAGATAAATGATCTGACTTATTTCGACATTCAATTTATCTTAATTGACTACTATTATTATTATTATTATGCTAATCATTGATTTAACTAACAAAGAAACCTGTTGTACTCATACATTATTTATAGAATAGGTCTCAAAGCTCTATTATATAGCTCGATAAACTTAGCAATACAAAATCTATTTCAATTATTTGAACTTCAATAAAGGCTTTGGAATGTTTGAGAACAGTCTAAACCTTAATGTAATTCAGCATCTTTTTCCGCTGCTAATAAGCTATGGTTAAAGCCTGTAAGAAGAGTAGGAAAATTTCCACTCGCGATTTTTTTTTTCGAACAATATTTTGTATGTAGTGAAATCATATTTTCTTTTTTTCAGTTGATATTTGAGAGCTGTTTCAAATATTATTATTTCTTGTATTAGATCATAATAGATTTTCAATAAAAATATATAGTCTTTTGATTTCTCATCTTTTCAAAACTTATCTTGACTATTTACATATATTGTAAGAGGTGTTGATTTTTTTGAAAATCATTCTGATTCGTCTTTACTATTAACGAGTAATTATGTATTGTTTTATTTTCGACAGTTTAAAAAGATTGTTAAAAATATTCAGAAAATCAGAATTATTCAATAACACCCGAAGGAATCAGAGTTATTTCAAAAAAGTTATAAAAACCACTTCAAAGATTGTATTTGATTCGTCCGATGAATATACTTTATATTATTCAAATTGACAAACGAATATTTAATCATAGATATACAGGGTATTCGAAAAATCTGAACGAAAAAACAATGTGAATAGCTCGTTAACTATTAAAGAAATTTAAGTAATTTTTTTGTACAATTTGATCACGTATTCATTAAAGTTTTATTCGATATATTTCAGATAAAATATCTACATCTGAAGAAGTTAGAATTAAAATAGTTTTAGTTGTGATTCAATTCGAATAAGCCAGCATTGAAATTGTGAAACTAATTTCAGTCTATATAAACCTTCTCCGTAGAACTGTTGGAGAAATTATACTTTGTATGGCTTTAATAAGAGATGCTACATCATAAGCCGATATGTTGTTGTTTGTAGTAATGAACAAGTTTGTGTAATAGACTAAATAGTTGATCCTAGTTCATTTTCACAAATATCCTTAACTTCATTGACTTTTTCTTCAGTAATTACTCTCCGGGCTTTCAGAATATGATCGATTTTCTATAGTACCAGTTTCACAAAATCGCTAAAATGTGATTTTAATACTGGATTCAGTTGGCTTGTTTTTGTCGAATTTGACTTGTAGCTTTTGTTTTACAATAATAGCTGACTCGACTTTGGTCATCAATAAAACTATTTTAATTTTTATTTGTTTAGGCGCAGATATTTTATAAGAAAACTTTAATGAATATAGGTTCAAATTGAAAAAAAAAATGTTTAAATCCCTTGAATTGCTGAGAGTTACTCATGGGTTTTTTTTTGTCGAGAGAAAGTCTAAGGTATCTGCCATCTTCTCTTTCTCTTTCTACACTAATTGTGACATACAGTAATTGAAAGAAGTCCCATTACTGAGTATAAAGTATATAAACTTCAATCTTTTTGTCTGATATTTTGACTACAAATTGATCTCTGTAAGCTCTGATTGCAAGCAGCAGTTCGTGGTCGATAGACCTTAATGAAAAGGATTTACGATGAAAGCACTAATTACTTTTCTGGTTTTTCAAATTATTGAAAATGTTAATCTCCATTTTCTGATTAACAAATAAAGATTTACATGTCTATATTGTGTTATAGATAGATTATTCCAGTTCGCTGTAATCTTGAGGGGTAGGAAAGCCACCATCGTCTGGGATGATCTCAGCATGAATATCTTCTCCATTGATAATTGCGATCATGAAATTTTGAAGGAAAACTTAATTAGAGCATGATACTCACTGGAGAAAATTTCAAGGCAAACATTAAAAAGTAGCCGGAGATATGGGCCACTTTTCGACGATTTTCATCAATTTTCATGTGGATATTATCTAAAGAATACTCCATAAATCAGGCAAACAAAAACTGTTTGACATGGCATTTGATGATAAAGACAGCATTGAACTATGGAATGAAAGGTCTAGCGTCATGAGATTTGTTGTTCATGTTGATCTTTTAACTCCTTCTCATGAAGACCGATCAAGTTCTGGTTAGTTCTCATGATTAGAGTTTAACATACTCTATTGGTGATCAAATGATGAGACTAAAGGCTTAAAGTTCAGGTATTTTTTATTGGGTAGCAGAGCTTTTTACGACCACTATACTATAATTAATATTGATAGTACATATTAATGAATAAAGGTAACTTTATCATATTTTACATTTTAATTTCACAGATATTTCATTGATAATTTTGTTTTGTGTATTTAAAAGATTCATGGTGATGAACATCAAGCACGTATAATTAGTGCACTTTTTGGTAAAGCATTTTGTCAAGATGGTATAGGTATTGGTTGTGGTGGAATTGAAGGACAAAATCATTCTGTATTAATTGTTAATAAAAATTGGAGTAATGAAGATGAACGATTAAATTTTGTTTCAATGATTCTTCAACATTATCCATCACTTTCAGCTCAACTTGATATCAATGGACAACTTGCATTTCATAATTATTCTATGCAATCATCATATTCATTTAATGATATTATAGAATTTATTAATACTAAAAATAATCATGAAAAATATTTTATTGAAGAACGACAAATGAAAAGTGAACTTGTTGATCAAGCTGAATATGAAAATTTATTAATGTTACTTGAATCATCACATATGCGTCATATATTTAATATGTTACGACACGAACATGCTCGTCTTTTCTCTGGCTATGCATGTGCTTCATTACCATTACCATCAGTATCAACAAAACGTCGACAAAAACAACATGAACAAAAACAACATGAGCAAAAACAACATGAACAAAAACAGCATGAACAAAAACAAGATGAAAATGATAAAAACAAAATTCTTTTATTTTCACCTTCTCATTTATGTTCATTCATTGTTATCTCTCATCAACCATGTATGTGTCTTACTGACTTCACCTGCTTTTGTTATTAGGGACTATTTGGAAATCACTTGATCACCTAGGGGGATCCAAAATGGTCAAAAAAGTGAACACGTGCTTTCCAAACGACCCGTTATAAGCTTGATTTTACTGCACATATTCCTTTGTCTCTTATTTAGTTTCATCTATTTCTTTTTCTGTTTTTCTTGTCACTTAAATAATTGTAAATGTAGTCGAGCATTACAAAATAGAAGATGGAAAAATATGATTGTATATTTGTTTATACCTGTATGTGTTATAATAACTTGCATTATTTCTATAGTTCAACTTTCTATTAGATTTAAATATATTGTTTAAAATAGTGACGATCCTAAGTAACAATGTGAATATGGCTATTGGTGGTATATTTGCACTTTTTTCTTAGGTACAGCTTATGCCTTTTTAAAAATGATTTCTTTAGTAAATAAATATCATAGTGATGTATCTGGAAATACGCCAAAAATTCTTGTTAGAATGTCTTTTTTATTTTACTAAACAAAATAAATATGAATTTGGAATATTATTAAGGTCTTGTTGTTAGTTTTATTTTTGATGCAATTACATTTATTTTCTTTATTCTCATACAAATTTGAGTTTATGGAGCCTATTCAAAATGTATTCAATTTAATAATAACTCAGTATCAAGTTGTTGTCAGCCGACAGTCATGTATGATGCTTTAGCTATGATTACTCTTACATATATCAATATGCTTCTATTTATTGGCATTCTAGTATTAATGGTTGCTAATACACGAAATAAACTCGAAGAAAAAAAAAGCTAGCAGATATTGATACGGTGATAGATTATATCAATGATAGATTTTATGAAGTTATACAGCGATAATAATAAAAGATTTTTTTTTCATCAAATAAAATAAAAAATTATATGAATTTGTAATTAATCTACAAGAGTACATTATCAAATGACTTGTATTTATTTATCGAAAGACATATTTCAATAGACTATTCATAGATTCACAATAGAAAAACTATGATGTTGTTCATTTCAAACTGAATTTTGAAAAACAACGGATATTTAATGCCCTAGTAAATAGACTGGCGACTGAACGTGCTCTAAATGGTAAATTGCTTTTAAATCGGGACAATGTGTATCATGTAGGTTCTAATGAGCTATATATATTCTGAAAAGAGCTCGAGTTAATAGCTTATTGCTGCCGAGATACTATATTTTATAGTAGAATGCCGTAGTCCCACTCAGAAACACCAAGAAAACTGAGTTTTTTTTATTTCAAGTCGAAATTCGAAACTCAGTTCTCTGTGTGTTCCTGAGAAGATCACGAAATTGTGCTAAAAATTACAGTATCTCAGCAGTGATAAACTATTAGTCCGAACTCTTTTCAGGATCTGCATAGCTTATTAGAACCTACATGATGAACATAACCTTGACTCAAAAGCGATTTGGTACTTAGAAACGTTCTCTCATGAGTTTCAAATACCTGTGTATTGGGTTAGCTGTCAACAAGGTGTCTATTCGTGTATTCTACTGAGAATTGACTCAATATATGGTTACTTACTAGGTATCTGTCCAGTTTTATAACATTCTATGACAAATTTTCCAACAAGTGAGTAGATTGAATACTTGAAAGCACTGTGTTCCCAAAGATTCTTGTGGCATACTAGTAACAGAGTATCCCGAAGTCAATATATTAACTAGGATGGGCATAGAAAAATTAGTCGTTTGTCTACTTATATATGAAGACAATAAGATCTAACTAGGGTATAGTATGAACGCCGTGACTACGATTGTGATCGTTGCTACTTTTTTGTTAAAAGTTCGTGACTGGGCTTTGCTCATGAAGAATCACGATTGCTAAAATAGTCAAACATTCTGTATTTCTGTTAACTGGTTAGATGTTTCACAACACCAATTTCTTTTTCATAAATTCAGTATCTGCAACTACTTTTCTATGCAATAAGTGACGTACAGAAATTACACGTAACACATCATAATTTATATTCTGAAAAATAACAATGCTAAAATAAAGTCTAAATTTAGATGTATGATCGCTCTCGTTTCGTTTCGAAAGGTTAACAGAAATACCTTTGTTGAAAATTAATTATACTAATTTTATCCTTCGAGTTGCAGCTGAATTAGCAATTATTCGCTTAATTACATAAATTTTGTTTTCTTTTCTTTCGCTTCAACACATTCTCGTCTCTTTTACTCTTAGAATTGATATATTGAACCTTTGTCAATTATACATATAATTTATATCAAGAGGCCGTAACAAACTAAAACTAATTTATGTGATTCACGGTCATGATCACAGTCATGAGTTGCGACTAGAAACCTTCGTCACATAGAATGCATTAGGCATTACTATACATATAAACGTAACTCACTTACAAGAGATTCATTCACTCATAGATTCCTTCATTTCGATGGTAGATCTAAGCGGTCTGTGGATATTGATAGTAATGAATGATTCTAAAAATTCCTAGATTTCCAAGATTCAACAACCGAATAAAAATGGGAGTCTATAACTATTTAACGTGAATATTAATTCTAGAGGTGCTGTAGACCTCGATTTCAGTTTATAATTGAGTGTCATTATTTTTCAAATTCAAATTGAAATCAAATAGGTCATTATATGAATTCAAGAAAATAAAACATAGCATGATGAACGGGTGTCCTCTCAACCATACCTACAGTCTTACCATTATCTATACCCAGGACTATTTGATTTAAAGAATATACGAAACAAAGTTTTGATTCAAATCTGTCTCCAAGGACAATAGTCTTTGACAATTCATTCACACTCACATCGCGTATGAAAATTAGAACAATAATACTAAAAGAAACATCATTATTTTTTGTAATACCAATGAGAGAACATAAATAAAACTTTAATAAGAAATCTTCTACAAGAACTTCATTTTTGATTGATAGTTGAAGGCAACTTAACAAATGGCCCTCGTAATTCATATCGTTTGCCTATGGATATGCTTTCAAGAAAAAAATCATAAAATAAAACTATTACCTCCTACTCATGGTTATTGACATTAACTCATTTTATTGTTCTCTATAACCACACATCAAAATCATATCTTGACTTTATTCATTTCTTCTTTCACAGTCTCACGGATAAACACACTGCTTATCATCAACATACTCAACACACATGACAGCGGTAACGCCAAGTAATCGAACAAAATGTTTTGTATGTGAAGCAGAAAAAATCGTATATCAATGTGAAGGATGCTTAACAAAATTTTGTTATAAGGATTTAACAGAACATCGTCAAAGCCTTAGAGAACAACTAGTGCAGATTGACAATGATTGTGATCGTTTTCACCAAACATTTACTGCAAAAAAAGAAGATCCTACAAATCTTTCATCAATGCAGCAAATTGATGAATGGGAAGAAGATTCAATTAAGAAAATTAAACAAACCGCAGAACAATGTAGACAAATATTAATTCAACATAAAGATAAGTATTTTGTTGAAATAGAAAAAAAATTATTTCAATTAACTGAACAATTAAAACAAGCTCGCCAAGAAGATGAATTTAATGAAAAAAACTTAGACCGATTCAAAACAGAATTAACAGAACTACTAGAAGAATTTGGTCAGCCACCAAATATTAGGATTCAACAAGATTCTAAATCATTCATAAACGAAATTTCAGTTGTCATGCCATGTGGAATTCTTGAAGAAAATATATTCAATGGCATTGATCCAAGCCAAGTTGGACGAAAACAAACAGAAAGACTAAATCAACTTCTAAATATTTCCAATTCAAAAGATTCTAAAACTATTATGAATCTAGGTTCAATGATTATATCATCTGGTAGGTATAATAATAACATGGAGTTTTTACAGAGTAATATTCAATTATTGATTAGTTAGTTATATTTTGCCAGAGAGAAAAATTCATCTATATTGTAATACTTTAATCAGAATTATTTTCCATAAGAGGTTTCTGAGAAATAGTTTTATCGAATCTATAATATGAATCAACATATGTGATAAAGAAAATAATACGTGCGATATGAAACATGTCGAATTCTCTTAGTTCAGAAAATTTCTAGATCTTGAAATTCATATATTTATCAAAAATAACTAACTAGATATACACCGTCGGTGTAAAGAATTGAAGACACTCTCAGAATTCAACTATTCCAAGAAATCAAAAAGATTGTCTCAACTTAAGAAATCTTCGAAATTAAGTCGTTTAATGAACATCTTAAAAGAAAAGTATTATAGAAACACAGAGAGCTCAAGGCATGTCTAAAAATAAACTGTAGACGCTACTAATTTTGTTTAGCCAAAAATGAAATAGATCGAAATACTTCTGTATTTTGACACGATCATGATATATGCAGTTAAATGTCAAAGAAAAGGTTAATGAATAGATCATAACTAGCTACCCATTTTATTTTACTGTGCAAAGATATTTACTGGGAGTATTATTACTTAGGAGCAAAAGATTCGGGCAATGATTTGAGTAATATGGATTGGTCGTTTCCACATTTTCGAAGAAGCTGAAACATGATTGGATGCTTTAGCTCATGCGTTTTTTAGATAGTTGATCATAAGTGGACACTTCGGCGAAAGAGAGGATAGAATTAGAACACTCAGCTCTTGAACAAAAAACCTGTGCCAAGTGAGCATCAAACTAAGTGATAAGATCACAACGAAAGGTGATAAATAAACAGGAGTTTAGACTATTCTCTCAGGGGAAGCTAATGAAAAAACAGAATACATTTGAAATCGTCTTTGCAAAAACTAAATATGCTAGTCAGCTCTTTATTCATGATGTTAGCGTTTATATGTATAGAGCTATGGGACAAGTAGTGTTACTGATGTTATGTTATAGAACGAAGAAAAAGATAATCTTCGTGGAACTTGAACCGACAACTTTTGCTATCGGGACAGATGTCCTAAGCCAGCTAGACTAGAACGAATATCTAAGTCTTTGCTTAGCATCAGAGTGCATCATCACAGACGCTAACACATGAGAGATGCTAAAAGAAATATAGTCATGTTAGAGATAATATTATTCATATTTTTTGTTACTATTTGCTAGCTTAGTCCTATTTACCTCAGGATGATTTTGGCTATTGGACACTTTTGTAAATTTTCCATCAACGAATGTTTGCGTTCACTGCTGAAAACTAATAAATCGGAGAGAACCGATAAATCTACTGTTTCTTTCGCTGGTCATATACGAACTCTATATTGCTCTTTCATTTATTTTCGAAAGATTAGCAATAGAATCAAAACCATCGTCGCCGTAACACATTGCGCTCTGGTAGGCTCATATCGATCCATAAATGACGTGAAAATCTTTGAAAATTCGAGCGATTGCAGAAGATTGGATCCATGAAAATTCAAGTAAACTATATCTCTTTTCACGAAAATATCTCTGAACATGCGCAAAAGTTTCGAAAGATCGCGAGATAACTCACTATCTTACATAAAACTGCTAGAAGATGACGCAAATCTTCAAGACGTTTGAGGAATTCTGCAAAAGTCTTCATTGAAGAGCGAGAAAATGTCGGCCAACTTCGATAAATTTGAATAAAGTTCGAAAAACTGACAAAGATTCGTGGAAGTTGAACGAATCTTGAGACGTTAGATCAAAAAATCGAGAAAATACTAAAAGCTTGCTTAAAATTGCAGGACATACCGGTAAAACCGTGAAATCTATTGCAATCCAAATTGAATTTCGAATATTTTCAAAAATTTGTGAAAACTTGAAAGATTCTTGGGTATCACGAGGAAAATTGATAAATGGTACAAAGATCATAAAGATTCAGAAAAATGGACACAAAGTCCTGTGAGAATCTAGTAATGAAGAAAAAGTCGCTCGTAAAATCTGGGAAGATCTATAAAAATTGTAGAATATTTCAACATATTCGGAGAAAAAACCATGAATATTCGATAGGGGTGTGCTGAAATCTATCAGGCATTATTTCTTGTAGAATTTTCTTTCTTTGTTGTAGTTTTTATGCAGAATATTCCTACAGATGCCAGATGGACACAGAATGGAGTGACCATTGCTGGTGGCCGTGGGCGAGGTGATGCACTTAATCAGCTCAATTCTCCTTGTGGACTCTTTGTGGATGATGATCAAACGGTTTACATCGCTGACACAAACAATCACCGTATCGTAGAATGGAAGGCTGGTGCCAAAAGTGGTCAAGTAGTGGCCGGTGGGAACGGACCAGGAAACCGATTGAATCAGTTAAATCAACCGACAGATGTACTTGTAGACAAAGAGACTGACTGTCTAATTATTTGTGACAATGGAAATCAACGAGTGATGCGATGTTCTCGTCGAAATCGTCTAAGTGGAGAAACTCTCATCGAGAATATCGCTTGTTTCGGATTGGCAATGGACAGTCAGAGATTTCTCTACGTCTCTGATTGTTTTGACCATGAAGTGAGACGATATCGAATGGGAGAAACCAATGGAACAGTAGTGGCCGGTGGTAATGGACAAGGTAATCATCTGAACCAACTGAGTCGACCAACCTACGTCTTTGTTGATCGAAGTTATTCTGTCTATGTTTCGGACTGGTACAATCATCGTGTGATGAAGTGGGTAAAGGATGCAAAAGAAGGGATTGTTATGATTGGTTGTCGAGGTAAAGGCAAGTCTCTAACAGAATGGTTGTATCCAAGAGGAGTGTTTGTCGATAAATTGGACACAATCTATGTAGCAGATTATGCTCATTGTCGAATGATGCGTTGGTACAGTGGAGCAACACAGGAATATGTGATTGTTGGTGAAAGGGGCATGGGACGAGAAGCAGACCAGTTAAACGGTCCTGAAGGTTTATCATTAGATCGATATGGAAATCTATATGTTGTCGACTACTGCAATCATCGAGTCCAACGATTCTCAGTTAAAAAATAATTCTGACTGGTCGCTTCTTAGTGCTCAACAAAGAAGTGAATGTTGTTTTCGACTATCTTACGTGTGTTTTTAGACAAAAAAGAAATAAAGTGTGATTGGGCATGAGTATGGGTGCTGGTGTGAATGCAGTGTGGGGTTCAGTGTCGATGTTGCTGGAAAGAAGGTTCACACTCATACCCAGAAGAGAAGCGATTGCAAATAAAAAAAGTCATATTTGTGGAAGGAAAAACGTTACAAATCAAGTACTCATATTGATACGCCTTTCTGTTTGACATGAGAAGATTGCGACATCATTCAAAAATAGACAATAGCAAATGATGATAAACTTTATTGAATATTTTTTAGAAGACTTAATTATCGACATTTAATAGAACATAATTATTCCAGAAATGATTTCCGATTATTTTTTCATTTCTTGTTTCATGAAATTTACAATAGTGGAAATCTAAGACAACTTCTCTGTACGATAATATAAAATTTGATAACGATAAATGAAATATGATTTTTCGAATTACGTACATTGTTCTCAGCATCCGTCATATTCAAGTTATTTCTCCACCTCGAAAAAAGGCTGTGCGTGTAGGTACGTATGTCTGTTCTTTTTCCTGTACACCCTTCACCTACACCCACATCCACAAGTTGACAAGAATGAACTGTCGATGAATTAATCAGTAGCACCATATATGCGAAAAAGTCATCATTTTAGAGGTTTCATGCAGGGTGTGGGTGTGGATGTACTTGTATCCAACATTCACACCTGCATCCACACCCACAATGCGGTTAAATGTGTATTTTCTATGATGATAACGTACATACATGGAAACTTTATTTTTCGAGAAAATTTAGTATACAAACGAAATGATTGGGAGATGAATTTTTGCGATGTTATTCAACATAAGCGATTGGATACAGCAATCAGGCTCCGCAGCAGTTGTTCTTTTCTCAGACCATCATTTTTTCTTTGAAAGTTCTTCTTTTTCTTACTTTTCATACAAATAGGCTCTCAGTAGCTTCGAAAAATGCATCAGCAATGCTTAGATAGAGAGCTCTCCAGGCTCCAGGAAATGTTTAATTCACCACAAGTCCAATAAAAAGTCCACCACGATTTTGTTAAGGTATGCATGCAAGACTTCGATTTACGCGATACAATATTTGTGCAGGACTTGGAACATTTAAAATGGTTCTTAGCTAGAATTCGGTCATTGCTCAAAGTTGCGGGCACATAATCAGTGACCAAGCATAATCGAAGCTAAGCTACATTATAGCTAGTCTTACAGATACTTACGTGAATGGCCATATGTGTAAATTAGTTTCAATTCAAGTCACAATCAACTGTTAGTTTTTCACGCAAATTAAGTTGGTCAATCAATTAGAGACGTGATCCAGGACTTATCCGTTTGAACTATAGCTCTTTTTATGCCTTTTTAGTTTTTGATCGAGTTGGGGTTTCAGAGACCTTTATCTAACCTTTCTGGTCAAAAATCTGATGAGTAATAATTGAACTTTATAATGATCGAAGAACTTGAAAAGTCTTTGCAACCGTGTACATGCACATAGATCAACAAATTCGACACTTGTTCAGTGAACTCAAATCATTGGAGAACATAAAAACCATCTTGAAACGCCGTTTACAAGCAAGAAGCTCGAAAAAAGTGTATCTGGATTGAGAGAGTAGTAAGGACTCTCAATCCGATTGAGATAGAGCAGAAATACTGGACAAGGATAAATATCTTTCTAAAAGATGAAAAGCGTTTAAGGGTTGAATTCAACTGTTAGAACCAAAATTTAGTCAACCAGATAACTTAACTTCGAATTAGCTTGAACTTCTTACGTCTAGCCGAGAATTGTGCATTTAGGGTAATCCTGTCTCGTTATGTGGAAAAGTGGCGAAGAGAAGTGGCCACTTTGCATTGCGTTGCAAATTTTTCGAAGATAGAAAGAGAATTCTGCGCTACAAAATTAGCAATTGTTTTCGCAAGTCGATAAATGTACTAGAACTTTTAAGATAAATTTCTAGAATGACGTAAGCTGGATAATGGAATCAAAACAAAGTTCCAGAGATTTTTTTAGCAGTCTTCAGAATGAAATCGAAAAATCTATAACGAATTACGGGAATCAACATCCTCAATTTTTCAAAAGTGGAAATAAGTACGCGAGAAAAGAATGTAAATATGTGTTACTTTGGCGCCAGCCTATCCTATAAGACGAAAGTTAATACATTACAAGACTATGTTAAATTCATTTTGTCAATTTAAAAAACATGTAGCATTAACCTAGCCGACAATTCTCTAAAATTCTAGCATACTTATTTTCACTTTTGAAAAACCAAGGATTTTGATCCCATACTTTCTGCAGGTTTGCTTATTTGTTTCTGAAGACTTTGTTAAAGAAACTCTGAAAGATTTATCGGATTTTTCGTTGTACTAGTAATTTACCCTAAAAATTTCAATCCTTTTATCAATACGCAAGAAAAATTGATAATTTCCTAATGATCGCACATCTATGACATCCTATCAAAGGATGTTTTTGGTGATACACAAGTTTTCGTAATCGATAGAGGGCGTATCGATCCATGTGGATGACAGATGTGTGCTACCTGTAGAATTACCGAGAGAGTCACTAACACATGGGAAGGACAGTCACATAAACATATCATATGACATGGAGACAACTGTTCATGTTTAAAATTCGCTCTTGTCTGAGCTCATTCCTATTGTTCACAATTGGACTTCTAATATAATTTTACCGTTGCAGTGCAGGACTCCTAGAATATAACTCCTCTAATACAACATTTCTGTTGAGATTCGAAGTTAATGCAATTTTCAGCTGTGTGTTAGACTATAAAAACCTCTAGGTTGTATTAACTGTAGTTTTTACAAATAAAAGATAGATAGATATTTATCGAAACTTCAAGAAATTACACAGATAAAACAATTAATTCTGTGATTGTAAAAGTGATCGAGTTCTATTACATAGAATTTGAGCGAGCGGTGATATAATAATGATACATTATTCAGCAAAACGTAATTGTGCAATAGACAAACAGATTGTTTTAATTAATTATGTCTTGAATTCCACATCAATGTTAAGAGTAAAATTATCTAAAAATAGCATAGGCTGTAAGCAAGTGCCTATAAATTTGATTGGTATCCAAGCTTGAAAATCATGAGCTTTCAATCCATCCTTACTGGAACGAAATCTTTCACCATAATACAGATGTATAGTTTCTTCTGATGATATTGGCAAAGTAGCCACATTGAATTGTTGAGCCGGAACTGTAAAATTCGTACCAAACGGATCATCGATCGAACACGGATTTATTGTCATATCGGTTACATGTTCAGGCGGACCGCTTCCATCAGCACAATAATTTAACTGACCAATATAGGTCCAATTACCGAGTATTTGAGTACTAGAAAATATTCGTGCATCTGAACCCCATTGACAAAAACAACAATCAAACGATAACATTGTATAATAAATTCCTTTTCGTTTAAACATTCCACCTCCATCATACCATGGAAAATCTTCTTTTTCAAAAATAATAGAGAATTGTCCAGTAGTTGTCATCCAGTCGGGTGACAGTTTTTCTACTACATGTCTCAAAGGTTCATCACGTGTATTATATCGAACATAAGCTGTATTATCATCGTCAACAAATAGATTAGTAGTATCACTAATTATCTTTCCACCTTGCATTTCTAACGGTTGAACATTGACGAAAGGACCAAATGGTGTAGAAGAAACAGCAAGAGCAACTAAAGAATTTTTAAATCCATATCTACTCGACCAATAGATCATCACATATTGTTTAGTATGAACATTGTAATCGACATTTGGCATCCAATAATTGATGTAATAATTATCTTTAGTAACCTCAGGTACAATATTATTAGTAACCAATGTCCAATTGACAAGATCTGGTGAAATATAAAGAGCAAATGTGTTATTTATATAACCACATACACCATCACAAATAGTCGTCGACTGATGACATTCACCATAAACTGTCCCGTACATAAAGTAGGTATTATCAAATTTAACCAGACAACCATCATGTGCATTAACAAAGTTTCCATCTACATCCAGTCGAGGAAGAACATTAGAGATAACTACTTCCTTGCTTGAAACGAGCCAAAAACTTGATATAAGAAAAATCCAGATGAAATTCATTGACAAGAGGGTCATTTTTTGTGAAAATGTTGACACAATAATATCTTAAGCAATCTAGTTTAAATTGATAAAATGAAGTATGTTCTAAAGAAAAAAAATATCATACCCGAATGACTTTTGCTGTCTTATCTTACTGTTAAGATAACAAAAAACTATGGTCCTTTTCATTTTCTCTTTCTTTGCTTAATACACATGTAGCTTTGTTTATCTTGAAAACAAAGAAAGTGATTATTCATTGAGATTGGCTTCCCATTTAAGGCATCCCTGCCCTAAGAAAAACGATCTTGGCCCAGGAACATTCAAATGGCATGAAATTTTCAGGACATGTTGCGAGTGTTATGGGATAGCTATGATAGAATTTCCAGTTCTATATCATGATACTTTCGGGATATATTTAACGGGCAAATGTTAAAAATAATTCATCTGGCAACCCAAAACTCTCTATAGAACTTTATTATATAGGTTTGATTTCTTTTTCGTTTAAAAGAGTATGTTAAGATGCAAGACATTATTGAGCCTTTTTTCTTTTTCAAAATTCTTACTTTTTAAGCCGGAGACCAGGGATGAAAATTTCAATGTCTTGAAAAAAAAAACTCTCAAAAAATGGCGCTCTACTAATAAAAGTGCTCTTTCATGCACTAGTAACACAGCTTAATTCAAGAAAAAAGGTTCTCTCATGTCCTACACCCTGATATGGTCTTTCTATCAAAAGCAAAATCGATTCATCCATTGTAACGATTCTTGAGTTTATTCTCCAAAAGAACACCTTCTCTCCCTGTTATTCACTCCTTATATATCGAGAGTAGAGCAAGGAAGAAAGAAAGAGAAAAAGAAAGAACAATCATCGATCAACACAATAAACGAAGAATAGAAAGTATGTGGTCAACTCATTCGTAATATATCATTGCATAAGAAGGAAGAGAACGTTGAACTTGATGAGTAACGAGTAAACGAGATAATGATTAGTAGTGAATGAGTATACAAGAGGAAAAGATAAAGCATGTGGTAATAGCTGAAGACATGGTAAGATTAAACAGCATACATAAACAATCAACACAAACGACAGTGACATCATATCTAATACATAATCAGTTAAACTAGAAATGTTACATCCACATCCCACAAACTCTAGGTTCGGAGCCACTGGGAGACAGGGAGTGAAAAATCGTTCCCGTTTCGGTCTCTGTTAGGAATCTTCCCTTGTAAGACATATATGATTTTCTATAATTCGTACTTTTTTGATCAGTATCGAATGTATATTGACAAAAAATAATTAATTTCTTCAGTTTTCAGTGTTATGATATTTAGAAAAATCGAATTTTACATAACATTATATCGTAATCAATAGAAAATAAAAGGAAATCTATGAGAATATTTCTTTGATCTTTTTTTTAATACATGGTGAGATGGGATGTGATGTAGTTATGCACCTTGTCTTCGCTCATCCTCACGCAAAGGCAATTCCTCATGTTTTAGTGATAAAATAAAAGTTCCTAGTGACTGATTATGCACAATCACGTTTGCTTGCGTCATTTCTGTATCTTTTTTCAATTTCGTTCTGTCGTATTGAATGATGTGTTTATTGACAACAACGAAAGAAAAATGAATTTGATCAAATCCACCGTATCCACCATGAATAACATGTTTTTTGTTGTTGTGTAGTGAAATCATGAGGGTTAAATCTACTGTCAAAAACTATATCTTTTTATGTTGTAGAAATCTATATTGGTGTGTGCTAATAAGTTTATTCTAATGTCTCATAACTGTATTTTGGATCAATTACCTACAGAATTATTGCATACATTGTTCATCTATTTTTCTTCATCTAAACTTCTATATACATTTTATAATGTTAGTGATTATGTTATTACTTCCTTATAATCTTATTCTTCTTATCAACTTGATTTTAAATCAATTTCAAAATCTAATTTTCGTCACGTCTGTCGTCATGTTCGACCAGAACAAATTATATCATTGACATTATCTGATAGCAATGATACACTTGGTCAATCAGAATTATTCTTTAATCATTTTTGACTTCGATCACTTACTTTATTTGAAATTGATTTTAATTCATTAGAAACTATTTTTTAAAAAATCTATCTAAACTTTACGAACTATGTTCATGTTCATTTGATGCCTATTCCATTAGACATGCTTACGGAATGATGGATCTTAATTTTATAAATAAACTTGAACAAATAAATACCATGTTACGTAATATTTATGCTCAAGTATTTTCTAAATTGAATCATTTGTGTCTGAATGATGGTTGAGTGTTAGAATCGATATCATTGCCAACTATTCTATACTGAAAGCTCAAATACTGCTCATTCGATAAACTTACAACAATTGCTGATTTCGCTTCAAAACTTAGATCATTAGATGTTTGTATCGATGTTTCAGAAATGAATTTCTATGATATCATATTACCTTTTCGATTTAGTCGAGTTCGCTTAATTATTAAAAGTAAGTATATCATCATATCTGAACACAAGCAAACTACTGACTCCACTGGTTATATTACAAAAACTTACACCCATACCCACCCGAATAAACAGCAGTATGAGATCACGGGAACGTAAACTAGAATCTGAGACTATATGATGTTCTGAACTTGAGTCAGATTTTCTTACATCATAAATCAATTTATTATTACTATAATAAAATCTTGTAATGCAAAACGAAAAAAAAAACACATCATAGTTAGAGATGTGCGGAATCAGAACTAAGAGAAAAAAATTTACCAAGACTGAAACTCGAGTATATAGTAAAATATTCTATAGTTTTAAGCATATTATCTTATATACCATATGAATCATATCATAATTCAATAGAAACAACTCAGAAAAAAAACTATCGAAGAATTATTTTAGATATAGTACAAGTAAATTCTAGAATAGTTTTCTCTAGACCGAGATAAAAAAAAATATTGATACCGTACATGTCTAGTTGGATTTCTAAGCGGACAAATTCCTCTTTTATATACTAAAATCTATACATCTATATAAACTTCCCATCCTTAAAAAAATTTCTAACAAAAAAAACTTTTTTCTCAACTCATGAAAATCTGCATATGACAAAAGATTAATCTAGAATTTAAAAAAAAAACAAATGTTCCAGTATCAATAAGTCATATGGAATACATACTATCAAATCATTTGTATCGAAAATATCTTGAATTAAATTTGAAAGGTTTTGAAGATTTAACAGACAGTCAACGTTGACAAATGTTAACTAGTTCTCTCAGAATATTCGATGTTAAATTGAATTTACATCTAAAATTCAATTGAACAAACTCTTAATACATTTCGAGCATCATTTTAGCTAAAAGAAAAAACAATGATTTGTGGCTTATCAAGATAAATGTCTAGTTTCTGAATCTTATTTTGCAGCGAAACTAATGATACAATCTTCTATGAAAATGTAACTGAACTTAGTGTGACAGTATCTTAAACCATTACCAAATATTTTACTCATATCAATACATTAAAACTTGAAGATGAAATTTTACAAACAGAACTCTTACATTTTATTAATCTTCGTTACGTTAAACATTTAGTTATTTTATCTCTAGATAATTTACAACAGTTTACACCTATCGAATGTAAAGTACCTCAAATATATCAACTCACTGTTAAAAACGAAATAACAACAAAACAGATAGAACAAATGATATACAAATTCAGACATTTGAAATAACGATTACTCTTCAAGATCAAAATTACATTGTTGAAGAATTGTTAAGATTGTTTCCACATATAGAACATTTTATTTACAACTCTGGCATTCAATCGATACAGACAATGGTACGTTTTATAGATGGATTTAAACATTTATTAAATATCTCATTTATTTCACAAGGTTCATTATATAATCAGCCTCAAAGTTTTCGTTATAATCCTAATTTAATGATTTTAAGAACTAATCGAATTACATATAGTATTTTAACATGTAGAATTTATTATTTACCCGCAAGTATTTAACTCAGACGTAATTTATTTTCTATTGAAATGAAAAGAACTAGATTAATTTTACGATGCAAATAATTGAGACAACGTTTTGAATTAAATTTTTTTCGAAATATTAAAAAGAAAAGTACAACAATTTTAGATCATATAATCATTTTAGTCTTACAAAGAGTGTGGATGTGTGTGGCTCAAGGAAAGGCTTACACTTCATACCTTATTTTATGTAGTCATCAACATGATAATTTATTCAACTCTAAAACAATAGTAAAAAACAAGTAAGAGACTGCTCGTTAAAGATATTTGTTTCCTCTTATTATGGCCTCATTTTGGTGTCTATGAAGGGTGAGATTTGCATTGATTTGATGTTGCACAAATCCCAATATCATCAGTTCTTTCTATAACTGATTGTATCATGACAATTTATTGATTATTTTTGTAAAAGTCTGAAAAGTGTTTTTACACTGCAATATGTAATACAAGATTCTTGTCTATTTACTTCGATTGATGCAGAAAAAATTTTCTTTTTCAATAACTTCAAGTGCTACAAGATGAAGACAATAATATCGTTCATTTGTAAAAAGAAAGAAAAGATTAAACAACCAGTTTCATTGAACAAAATTCTTTTATCACAGAATATATGTGAACTATACTCTAATTGCGTATTATACTCTAGTTTATATTACAATGAACAGAAAAAAAAGGGAGGGGGAATAGTTGGTCGTACTAGAAATGAAATGAATTATTAAGAAAGATGGATTTACAATCGTGTTTTTCACAGAAACCTAAAATAGAAAATATCTTTATAGTTTATTTTAAATGTCACAATATCTCTTGTATTTTGTTTGATAAAACAAAATTTTTTTGAAATATTATTAGAGACGATCAAAAACAAAGAAAAACTACTCTCATTAATAAGTTTTAAAAGAGAAATATTTCTTTCAAATTTGAAATAAAAGACAAAAAGACGTTATCGACAAAGAAGCCGTAATTTAAATACATTCATTTGATAAAGTTCAAAAAAACTTTTTTCCAAGTATAATAAATCTATTGTAAACACTTTTTTTCAGATATAAAGTCAAGAAGTAGAACTTGCCAAGGTTTTTCCTCTTCCTGTAGCGCAAGTATGTAACAAGTGAGTCGTAAAAAAAGTGAATCACGAACTATTGTTTGTATATATTGTTAGTAGCATTAAAACGTAAAGAGGAATTTTTTCAAGATTCTCTTTTTATTTCTATATAACCTTGTATCTTTTACTTGATTCGATTCTTATTTCTTAGCCTACAATTCATGATAAAATGAATTTTTGTGAAATGCTTCTTTTTTTGATTTTTCGTTGCACATGCGCTTAAAATTTGAAATCAATGTATTTATTTTTTATCTGTTACTTTGAATGATTATTATCAAAGTGTTTCTAAATTGTAAATATAACTAAGACAAAATTTATCGTTTTGTCATTGTCTATTTCGGTTTCGTTTTGATAATATAACAGCATCATCAAAACTTCGGCAACAAAATATTGAAAATGATGATGAAGATAATAATAACGATGCAAATGATTCAAATATGAAAGAAAATTTCCTTGAATTTAAATTTGAATCTCATCGACAAGCTCAATCACAAGGTCCAAAACTGATACTGTTAAACAACATGATTAATTAGCTATTTGTGAACGTGTGAAAAAAATTAAAGAAGAATTAAAAGGAAAAACAGATGATAAAATTGATCGTCGTATCAGTAATTATCAATAGTTTTATGAGAACAAAGATATTGCACGAGGATATGAAAATAATGGTCTTGTTCAAAATAAAGATTAGATAAGTTGATTTGAATTTTGATGTGATTATATTTCACTTAATTGTTTTTTTTTTTTGTTGAGGTTCAATTCGTGCACTAGCTCATCTTCGCGTATCTGCAGCTTAGGCAACCTGATATTTGTAAAGATTAAAAACAAACAAGTCCTTAATAATCAACATCTTATCCAATTCACAGTTCAATTGTCATTCTTTGTTTTAGGTTATCGTGGTTTTGGTGCTGGCTGTATATTTTTACATGCTCGTTCTAATTACAAATATGAATGACAACTTGAACAAGAATAGAATGAACAATCTTATGGGGCCGTCGATAAAAATAATCAACAATATTTTGTTAGTAATAAATGTAGTCGTCATCATAAAGCTGAATCAAATGAACATCTGTTATGACTCATGACTCGTGTTTGGACAGATATAGAAAATTATAAATATTTTCCGATGATGCTAACAATTTTTTCATAATTTCTGGTTTTAGAACCGATTAATATCTTTCATTATATTGATAATAGAAGTGATTTTGTTCATGTAACTTCAACTGCTACTTTACGTTGAAAAGCTTCTATTAATAATTGTCGTTAAAGAATGTTTTTATTCGAAAGATAATTATTTACATTATTCTACATGAATAAAGCATGTAATAAAAATTTTAAAAAAATGTTGATGTGACATTCGACTCCTCAGAGTTGATCAAGAATACAATTAAAAAAAACAGCATTCGTATGTACGAATTGAGTTTTTCTCTGACATCACTCCATACATAATTGCCTTCGTTAATAAATTAAATATCTGATGCAGAGAAAAAGATAGACGTCGTACTTAAAAAGCAGAATTAATAGAATTACTATAGAAAACATCATTTTGAAGAAGAAACAAAAACAAGCTTAAATTTAGCATTAATCTAGAGTTGAAGGACGCATCTTTGCATGAATCTACAATAAAAACAAGCTATTTGAAAAATTACTTCATTTTAAAAACATTTCTGAAACTGTGTATATTATCAAAATATATCTTTTCAAATAACTGGATGTAAATGCGACGTTTACTTCGATTGTTTTTCTTTTAAATTGTCCCATCTTTTGAATGTCATAATAGTAACGTCCAGACTTAAACTAAATCTTTTTTCTTAGATTCAAATCCCTATGATAATTCGCAATTAATAGTTACTGAAATCAGTGATTAACTACTATTTATTGTTGATTTTCGAAAAACCCTTTCTTGTTTCTAAACTACATTTTTACAACAGCTTTTTTAAATCGTCATGACTTTCACCACAAAGAAGGCAAAAGAAAAATGTCTTTTCAGTATAACGATGTTAAATAAATCAAACAAATTGGTAGAATAGGAATCAAGGGGGAAACAGCGGACTTTTGGACGTGAAGTTACTTTGAGCTACTTCAAGTAGCTTACTTTGAAGTACTTTTCAACTTCAAATTTACTTCAAGTCACTTGAAGTTACTTTAAGCTACTTGTTCCTACTTTGGGCTACTTGGGTGGTACTTTGAGCTACTTCAAGTAGTCTACTTTGACATACTTTAGAGGTACTTTTCTACTTCAAGTCCTCTGTTTCCCCCTTGATAGGAATTCTAAATAAAAACATTCTTGAAACGTTAGAATTTCACAGTCGGAGTATCAACTATAAAAATAGATGTAATTTTGCTTTATTCATTATTTCCACATTTTGGCCCATTATGGAGCCGTATTCACAAGCTTTTTTGAATAATATAATTAATATATTTGAATAGATAATACATCATCAGCAATTATCTGCTAGACATCAAGATCCTTGCTTAATGTGAAAGAAATAATTCTTCTTATTCTAAAGAAAAAAAATCTTGGGATTATTTTATAATTTGTCTAAGTTGTGTTTTTCTCTTCTTTATAATAAAAATCGAGTTAACTGTTAATACAATCAAAGTTTCGTTATGGAATTGAATGCTAGCAATTCATCATGGGATGTTAATGGCGATCTAAATAGTTCAATAACATCATCATTCGAACGAAAAATCAAATTTTATATACTTGTTATTTTACAAAGTCCATCACTTTTCTGCACTCTTTTCATGTAAGCTCGTTTGTTTTTGTTACAAAAGAATATATTTTACACTTATTCTTAAATAATTGAGAAGATCTCGATAAAAAGAAAACAAAAGTAAAAATGAATTATTATATTTTTAGGTTACGATATTTTCAATGGCGTCATTTACAAACTCAAATTTATGGTTTTCTTCTTATAGTCAACGTTCTAATTCTTGGTTTTGAATTACCTATTACACTTTATTATTTATATGAAGGAAGTATTTATTTTGAAAGTAGATGTTCAGCTTGGATCACTTTGAATTATTCACTTTTTCAATTGAGTATTTTTCTAATGACATGGATATCTATTCAACGTTATTTATTTATTTATCATGAACAATTCATTTTGAGACATATGATTCTTCTTCATTATGGGCCAGTTGTATTTCTCTTTTTATATTGTCCTTTACTCTATATTGGTATTGTTGTATTATATAAATGTAAACCAGTTTATGATGTAAATCTATATATTTGTGGTGGTCCATGTTATTCATTAGAATTAGGTCTTGGCTTATTTGATTGGGTTGGAAATGGTATTAGTATGGAAATGGCAACATTAATTGTTAATGTAATAGTTACTATACGTCATTTTATACAACGTTATCGAATGAAAAGAGCAATTATTACAGCAGATGGACGTCGACAATGGGTAAGAATAGTTAGAAAGTCTTTTTTTTTATTTCTATTAAATAGATTTGTTCTATAATAGAATCGATCAGTAAAATTAGGTGCGCAACTTGTTGCCATAGGTATGATTTATGTGATTGGTTGGGTTCCATATTCGATTATTGTATTGATTCAAATGTTTAAAGGTTCTGAAGAACTTGCTGATATTCTTTCAAGATTTTTTGCTTATTTCCCATATCTTCAAGAATTAATACTTCCTTTTGTTGCTATTTTATACATGCCGGAAGTAAAAAGAAAACTTACTGCTTTATTTATGTTTCCATGCATGAATATGAAAAGACGTCATCAAAATCGAATTCACGCCATTCATAATCAAACAGTTACAAGTACTATTCAATCACGAACTATCAATCATCATTAATTATAATCAAATATATATGTCATTTGAAATCATTTAATTTGAAATCAAATATTTGTACATTTATTTAAACACTTTGAAAAAAAATCCTATACGTTGTATCTATCGATGTTGTACAAACCTAACTTTAAATAAATTATTTTCGCTTTTAAACTAAGCTATCTTTCATTTTATATGTTGTTCTGCTGAAACTATTGTCGAAATCTTATTTCTACTAAACTATAGAGTATAAAGACTGAAAAAATCATATAGAGCAAATATGAATGAGTAAAGTGCTGACCTAGATTATATGGTCAAATGAAGTGTATTTTTTAATGAAAAATCCATTTCTACATGTTGCTGATATTCTGACAATATCTCAAATCTTCTGAAGACATAGTATAATTCTCTTGCACCTAAAATCCTTTTCATGTAGCTATAGATCATTGGAGACTTTATTGTTGTCTTCATCATTGGATTCTTCAGCTGTACGTAACCATTCGATGAATTCTTCGGCGTATTCTCGAATTTCTGTTGCAATCGCTTTATCAACAAGTTGTTTCGATTCCTAAACGATAATCATCGATGTTGTTCAGTAGAAAACCCCATCATTCTATATGTACCTGTTCATACCAGTGATAGAAAATATCTTCTGCAACAATGTCTTCTTCATAAAGTTTGTAAAAAATATTTGATATTCCTTTTGTGTTGAATAGTTTTTCTCGTATTTCTTGGTTTGCACTGATTTTTGCTTCAAGTCCCTCTAATAGAGATTTTTGTCCTTGAGTCGTTTTTGAGCACAACTATAAAAATAGATCACTCTGATAAAAAAATGCAAGACATATCATAAACTGAAAACATACTTTATAAAGTAGCATTTTGTATGCTTTAATTTCTTTGATGATTTGATCGGTAAATAAACACTCAGCAACATAAAATGGAGCTTGCTCTATTATATTCAATCGTTCAGCTTCAATTATCAATTCTTGAATTGAAATAGGATCATTTAATTGATTAGCCAATTTCTTTTTCTAGATATATTACAGAAACAATATTCATTTCAATGAATTCAACATTGAACTAACTTTCAATAAAGAATTGAACTGTTCACAATTTTCATGCATTTGTTTATGGAGATCTTCCAATGGACCCATACGATTAAGCTGAATGTTCGATTCAATTGCAGATGAAGACAAATCGCCATCCCAATCTTCACTTTCATCGCTTGCTTGTTCTTCTTCCTGTACAATTGAAGTATTTTCATCTAAGTCAAGTCTATCAGATTTTCCTTCACATTGAAGCCAATTGCTTAGAATAAATTTGATCAACTTGTGGGATTCCTTTTTCATTGTACTCATATTACCACAAGCATTGCATCGTTTATAAATTTCATTGTTATTATTCTTGTCGTAACTCTATAACATAAAACACCGATAATGATTCTTATGTTCTCTAATAGATGCCTAACATAGAGTAAATAAATGATATTATTATAGTACTCGATGATACTTCTAGTTTTCGTCGATCAAATGTTTTGGTATTATAGAAATGTAACAAACTATTCTTTGACAATCAAGCGATATCATCAAAGAATATCTTGAATCAACCACATAGAAGTGATCTCAATTGATTCGACATCTTTTTCTCGCATTGATCTACATAAAGTTGTCAACCGTTCAGCTAGCTTTTTTTTACATGACTAAAAATCAAATAATATCGCATGTGAAATTATGACATGCATATCAAAGGTTGGTTTAGTTTTAGGTCGTGAAGTCCGAAAAACTATTCAATAATTTGACTTTCTACATTGAAACTTGAGAGAAAAATCATTCTATAGCCACTATGGTTCAAATTTAATAATCTGATTAAAATCAGACTTTTCTTTGTTTTCACATCGATTGTCTTGTTTCTTGTCAGTTAGTTCTCTAACATAATTTTGTATCTATTTCATTTGGGGATTAGTAACATACGCTCCAATCCTTTCTAACACAGATCTGAAGTAAATCCATCGAAATAATATTGAATTCTTTTAACAAAAAATTGTTAAAAGAAATGGTTTGATATGAAATTTCATATATAGAGAATTTAAAGATTTTTCGATTGATAATGTTTTCGAGTCGAACGATGATTGGAGCGTATTTTACTACAAATGACTCTATTTCTTACATCTCTGAATATGAATTATTAAAATTTTGACGTACTAATTTAGTTTCAGGGTATTTGCAATACTGACATAGTACGAATTTGTCAATGAAACCATCCAATAAGTCTTGCAGTCTTTCTTGATTGTGCGCTCCTTTGATAGTATATTGATCCGATGTTACATCCATTTGTACCGATGTACTCAATTCGAAACCAAAATATTTTGTTACATCTAGGAATACATATAGTTTACAATTTAAATAGAATTATTTGTCTGTTGATATGGAAAAATGAAATCGATACTCACAAATTGGTGAACGACGGAGGGCTTTAGCCACCGCTGACACATTTACCAATACCGTTTTAAAAGCATTACCTGCTCTTGTCATCTAAGAACATATATATAGCTAGTGCTTCACAATGAATATATAACTTCTGTTTTCTTGTTTCGAAGCATTCGAAAACATTTTAAAAAATTGTTCTTATGCTCATTCGATAAAGAACTTATTAATTCTAAGAAACTGTACTTTTCATTTTCCAGGCAAGTTTTTTTATGCTGGTCCAAAATTAAATGAATGTTTTGAAAAAAAAAGGCGATGAAAAATTATGCGTTACCCATTCTATGTCTTTTTCTTTTCTTTAGTTCAATTACCGTGATCACAAGTCTTGGCATCTTGTAACGATAAAATGGATCGTTTCTTTCACGGGGAATGTTTATCATTGCCATGATTGTACACAATTTTTCCTGAAAAAAAAATTCAAGTTATTAATGGCCAATAACTTTATAAATAAATCCGATTTTCAACTGCCGATATGAAGTCGACTGCGAAGTAGGATAATCAAGTAAAATATCTGAAATTTGACGTAACGAAACGATGCAATATGAGTTACACATGGTGTGGAGACAAAAAAACAAAAAAAAATGACGACGAAAAGAGGGCAAATGACGCATGCGAAATCTACATATGTCATCATAAGAAAGAAAATTACGCAAGAACAGTAGAGAACGAACAACTTTGAGCAAGAAAAACTCGCACGTGTTACAAATTGATAAGTGATGCTATATTACTGTCACTGGTAATAATTAATAACCACTAAAAAATAAGAAGTAAGTAATAAATTAATATACATTTAAATAAATTTTTAAGGGTTAGGAATGGTCCGTATAACTTTCTCATAACTATCTAGAGTGTAACGAATTTTTCCATTACGTGTATCCTCTTTCCATTGATTCTGTTCAAGTGTCACTTTTTTTCTATCGTTTTCTTCGTTGCATCACTCACCGCTTGAAGAGAGAAGGAAACACAGAAAGGAAAGAAGGCGATTTAAAATTTGTGGTTACTTACTTGAGATAGCGACATGATTTAGTTGACCGCATCACATGCACCCTCCTAAACAAACGTCATCCATATCATTTGGCCAATAATGCTTGAGCAAGAGAAATCATTTTTGAAAAAGAGTTTTCTATTGAAAAGGAGAGTGTTTCTTCGTTTTGAAAACTGGATTTATATGTTCAAAAAGAAAGATTGAATGAATATCTGACTGTTTATAGTAAACTCACTCATCATGTTAAAATTAATAATCAACTTAAGCAATTGTGTCACAAACCTTTATGGTAATACATCGAGTTTGCTGACATTAGCATTCTACACTACAGATTCCTTTAATTTATTATCGACTCTCTTCATCTCAGAATGGGGGTGGGTGTGGATGTGAGTGTGAGTGTTGTCTTCATTTACACCTATGCCCTAATCCCCACATTTGCTCACATCCATATGAACTCTATATTTATTTTTATTGCTTATTTTATGAAGCAGATTATCTACATCTCAAATTATTTCGGTTTAATCGATTGTTAAAGAGTAAAAGTTGAGACTAGCAAATTGAACTTGTCTTTTCTTTAAGAGATAAATCAGTCTGTTGTCGATTGATTTGCCCATACCCTGCAGCTATATTCCAATATAGATAAACGAGAATGCGTGTGACATTGATATGATAAGCGCGAAGCTGAAAAGACATAGCGTTCGACTGAAAAGTCTTAATGATCTGATACAAATTCGATCGATGCAATATAATATGAACTTAGACTCCAATAGCTCAATTAGGAATATTAATAATTTCGTCTGATGAAATTGCTCTATATTACTGAAGTGTCAGATTGAAATTGTCACAGGAAGCGAACACTTTCAAAGGGCTTGCATTTGCTGTGTCTAATTGAAAAAGAACTTGAACTTCGACAGCCACCGTCTCTTTATGGCCATCACCATAATTATGCAATGAAAATAAGTCATCTGCACCTAAAATAAATAAAGATATTTTCTCTGTTCCATCGAGTTAAACTATGATGCCATAGTCACTTACTGTATGGCTTGCTTTGCACTTGTTTATCATTGTCATCAAACTCTAGCAACTGGGCGCTTATATTTGCTCCATCACCCAATGCACTATATCCAGCTGTCAATTATCAGAATGCTTTACCTTGACGTATTATCCATTGTTGATACTTTTTGGGTATGATAACACGCTGTTCCATTCCAACTTGACCTATATTACTGCCAAATGCATCAAAAAAGCATCGATCACCAACGCGATCATCCGATTCCGGTCCGAAAACAGGGATCAAACTGGAATAAGTTAGTACACCCAGCTTTGTATCATCTTCTAATGTTACTGTATTCCAACGATCAGGTTCTTCACCGTAGTCAATATTATTAGAACAGTGTTCCTAGGCAAGATTCATATGAATTAATGACTTTCACTATTTGGCATTGGCAAAATAATCATCATCTGCTTGACTTCATACAAACGAACTTCAAGTTTCGAGATTTTACTTTAGATTCCTTACGAAAGTAATCTATTTTCAGAGTATCTGATGTGCTAATCTACATAGGCATTCAAATCCGGAGAAACGTGACATTGGTACTTGTTTCGTTTGCTAGACTTACACAAACTGAAGTTGTTCAAGTAATTTCAATTTTACCAACCTAATAATAAAATTACTTGGTAGTGATGAAAAGTGAATTCAAGTTTTTCGAAGTACTTATTTGAATCTCAGCTTTTTCATGACATTAATAAGGATCGATTAGATACTAGTCTAAATAGTGCTTACCTGCTCAGTATTACCGTTGGATAGAAGATTTTCTAAACGCTTTCGACGGCCGAGTGTTCAATTTGGTAGTACAGCATGGTCCAGCAAAAGAGCCTGTTCGAGTTGCTCGTCAGATATTGTTGCATTTGTGAGAATTGCATCAGCATTCCGAAAGTTGGCATTGAAGAGATATGCGCCTACAAATAAGGTCCATGTTAAGTCACAATGAGAAAAATCCGTGTGTGATAGATGTGCATGGGAAAAGTTGGCTTCTTGCAAATGCTGGTATCTGAAGGTAGCATGATCGATTAAAGCACTGAACAGTGAAAGACGTCGTAGAGAAGTCTTTTAAGCTGGATATACAACTCCGCACAACGGTATATCTAACTTGAGTTCCCTTAGATCAGCACCAGTCAAATCGACAGGATAAGCATCTACGATAAGCATCCGTGCTTCGTACATGAACTCTATAAGATAAGCTTGCCGAATAATGTCAAGCTGTCGAAGAGCAGCAAGCGTTTTAGCTCGAACAATGGTCGTCGTGATCTAATCTTTTCGAAAGAAATTAGTCGAAAGAAACAGATCGGACATTTCACGCAAGAAAGTAGCCAACACGAGATTGTAATGCAGTGTGTCGGCAAGCTCTTGATCTTTCTATCGTCGATCATCAGCTATTTTCTCTTGTTGCAGACGTGTTTGTCCAGCAATATTATAATCTTTCTGACGGTTTTCTTCGGCTATACGACGATCTTCATCTCGACGCGCTTCTTCAATCTGAAATATTTCATACATGAAACATTGAGTAATAACAATTCGGTATAGAAAAAATTGAGATAATAACAGTTTTCTTGCTCGTTTTGAAATGTCACGAGGATTTATCATTACCATCTTACTTCAATGACATGCTTAGAACCAAGACAGTTTTATGTTCACATAGGATAATCAAAAAAATAGGTTCAATCTTGACCTCTCCTTGAGAATGTTTTCGCTTTTAAAAAAATGATCAATCTTACTTCGAACTGTTGTTGACGCGTTCGATTAGCAACATCAAAATCTTGTGCGCGTCTTTGATTTTCTAGTTTGAGATCCTGTTCACGTCGTTCTGTAGCAATCTCTAAGTCCTGTTGGCGTTGCTGAGAAGCAATATAGATCTGGACAACGGCTACAACGACTGTAAGTATACCGATCATAAGTGGGACCAGAATCGAAGAAATAACTTTGATCATGTTTTCAAACGAAGCGCCACAAGTGTGTTGTCCTTCAGACAATGGGACAATCTTTGTGATAGTATAATCTAATTCTGATACTTTAACAGTCCTTGGTAATTGTGATTTCGTATCAGAGATCATGTTGTTTGCTTTCAAAACACAAAGACACGTTTTTTTTCACATTTTTTTTACTATCAAATAGTTTTGAGCAATAGTAATTGTAATGGTAGTTAGATGATCAGAATATTATAAAATAGCATACAAATATTTTGAGCCCGATACCAAAATATTGATCGGAAAAATTTATCGGAATTAATACTTTTATCTAAAAGAACGGCTTTAAAGTGTTAATTTCAACTCCAAAGTACAACAATTGTGTAGAAAACTAAATAGTCAGTTTTAATCTTAGAAAATTTCCAAAGTCGATAATAAATATCCCAACTTGACTGAAAAATGAGCAATGGTAGACTTAATTTTGGAGCTTGAGTCATTTCGTCTGTATAAGTTGTCGGATTTTCAGGCTGTTTTTGGCATTATCCGATATAAATCGTAATTGATTTATAATATATCATATGATGCACCTAAATTGAATACAAATATGAACAATAATTTTCTTATTACTTTTGTATGTCTCTTGTTTATTGTTAAACTGTGGAGAGTTTTAAACATAGACATGGGAATCCAGTGGAAACTTTCTGTTCTTGATATGTGGAGTAGATTTGATTTAATACTATTAATACTAAACAAAACTTGAACCAATGGTTACTAAACAAAGTGGTTAGAAAGAAACAAGATTTTTATGCAATAATATGAGAAGAAAAAGACGCTTGAAAGGCAAAATTTTGCTGTGTTATTCGAAGGTCGGAATTCAAATATAGACAAAAATAATGTGGTAGAAATCTGTAATTTATCTTATATTACCTGTTTAACAAAAATTATGACATGGTATTGTTTTCTTCATTTAAAATGACATGTTTCCGTTTTATGAAGAGGTTTAATTCTCTTTCATCATGGTGCGCGATTATAGAATACTAAAAATAATAATTGATATTGATTCAAAAATGACAGTTTATGACAAACGCTTGGTAGAAAAGAACAATATATATGTTTTGGCAATATTTTCTTTCCAAGATAGCAATATAATATCTGTACTGATTACGAAGTAGACCAATTGCATTTATTATTCAGAAAAATGAATGCATTACACTGGGATCTCATTCGAACAAGAACTAAAGTTAACGGAAATAAGATCAAATTTTCTTTTCTGAAAATCTATAATTTTCAATATCGAATATTCAACAATAATAGATTGTTATCATATTGATTGTCAGATTCGTCAGAGGCTTACTCGAAAAGAGAGAGACCAAAACATGCTATGTACGAGCAAAATAAATCGCTTGTACTACATAAATAATTTGCTGATTTTTGTTTTCATTGCACCTTATTCGATTTCAAAAATTATTACAAGTATGATCTGAAAAGAATGTGGCGTAGAATATTTCGGTGGGCAAAAAATAAATTACAAGAACAGCAATGTTCGATAGTTTTTTGGTTTTCATTGCTATTCTACTAACATCATGATAAAACGTGAAGATAAATTATATTATGAAGCTTGACGCTAGAAAAGTTCAATATGAAATCATGATTGTGCTCTGTGTCACATAGGTAAACTGTGTGATGGTATTAACCGTTTTTACCGTAGTCATGAGAAAGTCATATATCGATATTAGATGATAACATTCATTTGTCGAACATAATCGAATGTCTAATGGAGAAATAATTATAACTAAAACTGCAACGAACACAATGTCGAACTTTATGCATTGTTGTTCACAGTTGAATTTTCAGCTGGTGTCTATTTTATAGCTTGCTAAGCCCAACATATTAGTACTGTGTTATAGTAGAAGAGTTTGATGGATGAGTTCAAAAACTCAATTTTCAGTTGAAAAGAAATGGTAGCTGTATAGATATTTACATAGAGAATCAAGTCGAATGTTTTAGAACATTCCTATCACTAATCTAGCTCATTAAGTTTAGTATGGTTTTTACATTGAAATTGTATAGATTGGACTAATTATAAGCTAGTTACTTATAAAACATCCAAGACCTAGAGCAGAATTCAGAAAAATATTCACCGACTGACTCAAAATTTAACTTACTACGACGTTATTGCTATACTTCAGTAAACATAAACTATTATCAAACATGATTGTAAAAGGAATAACATAAACCGTATTCATAGAAAGTCACATTATTGTTCTAACGTTAGCGTAAACAGTGGCAGATGGTAATATGATTTGACATTCATGCATCTACATGTCTATTGGTACTATTCATACAGAGTCAACTCCAAGCAGTTGATCGCTACACAACAAAGAGAGTCAATAGTAAGCTGCCATTGAGATTAATCAATTACAAGCAGATTGACCTATCTCTTAAATAAAATACAAGTTCAATCTGCTATTTTGAACTTTTTCTTTTCAGCAATTAAGGGTGCGGGTGTGGGCGTATTCTTAGCTTGACATCCACATACCCGCATCCACACCCACATCCTCACATACTGAAACAAAAAAGGTACAATACCGAACCATTTAGTTGTAAAAATGTACACTCTAGAAAAAAGTTTCGTAAAAAGTTAGGACACCCTCAAAATGGTTGGCAACAGTCTGGGATCTTTTTTGAATGATTTCGGGGATTTCTGTACAAAACTTAAAAGATTTCGGTTTGATTATTAAAAATGAAATCTTTTTAGGTCAGATTCAACTGAGAATTTTAGAGTGAATAGTCATAAACTAGATAACCTGGCAATAAAATGTTCAACTGAAAAAGGTATATCGTAGTTAACATACGAAAAGAAAAAAACTAACATTCGGAAGGTAGCGTCATCTACCATGCTACTTGTTCTTCTTGTAACTCAGAAACCAAGCAGCAATGATACGAATCTTTTAGATAAATTATATACATGTTCAACCTTAGCGATCAACAAAACATGGGCTCGAACTGTGGGCAGGCCCCACGCGAACGACCGAAAATGGAGGGGACGGGAGAGTGTAAGAGAGTATGGTCGAAAAATTTTCGTCGAGATAGTGTGAAATGTAGGAAAAAATTCGCGTCTTTCGCTGGGAAAAATTGAAAATTTTCGATTATGGGGAGGGGATGTACACCCCTCTACACCTGTCTCCGCTCGCGTGGGCACTGACTATGGGAATCACTTGGGAATGTTTCGTCGTTAGATAATCTTATAAGATCAATAGTTTAGATCTCACTTATACAAATGGTTTTGATAACTATAATTTTGTGCATTTTCATAAATATTTAAGAGAATAAATATGTTCTGATTCCAACGCTATTTTTTTTAAAGTTGAAAATAGATCTTCAATGTAGTGCTGTTAATTTTCTAAAGAACCGCTCAACAAGTACTTTAATCAACTTGATTAAATGTAATTAGTTTTTATAATGTAAATTATTTATTTTTTGTTTTGGAGCATTTTAATTATCAAGTTCAATAGTTATAATATTTTTTTCTTTTTTTTAATGTTTTTTTCACCACATATTTTTGTTTTCATTTAGTTTTTTGTAATTTTTATTAATAAATATACATATGTGAGTAAAGATAAAAGACTTTCTTAAGGAAACAAGATGATAGAAGCCGAAACTAGAAGAAAATAAAGTATACAATGTCATGAAAAATCATACAGGAACATATACGATTTTCATACAATCTTGTGTGATCATGAAAGATCATGGAGCAAGTTTCTATATGATATTGGAAGAAATGTACAAGATCTTATAATAGGATTGCTTGCCCTGAGTTGTTCCGTAAGCGGACCGTCTGAGCTTGAGTTCCTGATTAGGTAAAAATGATTTTTTGATTCTTGTTAATAGTGATGAAAGAACAAAAAAATTCAAAACTTGAACGATGTCACTTTTTGCAAAAAAAAATTCCCGTGTTTTCAATTTATGTGAAATTTTTGTTCTTTCCTTTCCTTCAGTTTTGAAGACTATCTTTTCAAGCTGGGAATTAAATATCGAGTACAAAACTTGATCCTAAAATTCTGTTGATGATGACAACTCGAATTGGTTCTACTTGCATATGTGAAGATCGTTTATAATAATCTTATACAATTTTTCAGTGTAAGTGATGACATCAAATTTGTTATACTCCTATTCCGGCACTCGTCCACATCCTTAGTGTGCTTTGTTACTGTTTTCGTACCCTGTCCTACCGAATTCGATGATAGTAAATTCTGTTTTAACTTTGGTAAGACGCCAAAACACATTTTTGTTACATATTTGACGGCATCGCAATTTTTAGTTAATTCAAACCTGTTTCTAGTATATGTTTTGATTTCGATTTTCTTCTGAGAAGTTACTGTGACACATCCCATAATTATCATCACAAATTAATAATAGAGAAAAACAATATACTAAATGAAAAAACAAACTTAAATAGGTAACATAAGTCTGGAGTGCTTGTAGTTCTGTGAACTGAAGGCTTACACCATTAAGAGCCGCAATACGGCAACGACACTCTTAAAAAGAAACTTCAGATGATTCTATATTTTTTCACAAAAATAAAAGCCTTAAATAATTTTTTGTAAAGAGCACATCAGAATCTATATATTAATAGCAGATTTGAAACGAATACGTAGCAGTGATAGAGAAAAAAAATCGAAAATAGTCAAAGATGGAGTTTTTTCTCATTTACTTATGTATGGTCTGATAGAGCTTGATGCGATGATCATCAGTATATAGCTTTTATCTTGATTCGAGCACTGTTTAGCTTTAAAAAGCTTAAAGGAATGAGAATGTAATATTTGTAATCATGAGTTTGTTTTTTCTATAGAAAATGTCGAATTTTAACTACGCTTATTTTACAAGCGTTTGAAAATATTATATTCGGAATCAGCAGCAAAAAACTGAGTAGAAAAATATTATTTGCTTAGGTCTACAACAAATAAGGTTATGAAACTCCTGCCTAATATACACTTAGCTCGATCATGCACCTTAGCACGTATTTGTAAGTATTCTTGTAAAGTTATTTATTCTTTTTCCTAATGAGAGATAGATGCAAGTGCTTATCTCATTAAAATCTGCAGATGATAAACTACTAAAGTACTTATTTAATTTTATTAAATACT